GCGGTATGCTAAACTGGAGTACGAATCTGTTACGGACACATATGAACATGTAGGCTCCGCTATGAAGTTCCTACAGCTAATGCAGTATCTGGAAGTTATGCATCCAATGTTTGGATATACTAAGGTAGATTAAAAGATTCTAACAACACAACTCGACCAAAGGGGTAGTTAAAAGTCATAATTTATTCTATGGAATATTACTAAATTTAATTGGGTAAAAATTCTTTGAATATATTCTAAACTAATGTTTAGATGGATAGATGTATGTTTGTTTGAAGGTATCTTCAGATGGGCTGAACGGACCACAATGAAATTTGGCATACATATAGAACACTAGCGGACCCGACAGACGTTGTCCTGTCAATTAAAATAAAAAAATAAAATTAAATTCGAATATTATTTAAAATTTGACACTGCGATGGTAGCGCTGTCTGTCGGATCCAATGTAAAACATTCCAAAATCAACAACTACTTATAAATTAAAAATTAATTAAAAAAACATTGTCCAGCGGACAAAAATGTGTATTCATACCATTCCCAGATCCCCTTAAACACACAAAAAATTTCATCAAAATCGGTCCAGTCGTTTGAGAGAAGTTCAGTGACATACACACTAACAGAAGAATTATATATATATAGTCTGGAAATACATATTATGTTTTTTTTTTATTCCTCGCGGATTAAATCGCGGGCTACAACTAGTTGTTAATAATACTTTCAGTAAGAAATAGATTTAATCTATAGTTTCAATGTAAAATTTCTTTATATTTCAGGGTGGTGTGTTGGTACCATTTTTGCAAACAAGTGGTCGTGCATTTGTATTGTTTGTAATGATAGAGGCTGAACCCAGAATGCAGACGAAACCTGTTGTGTTCTATTTGTTCTTAATATGGGGTCTAATTGAAGTTGTCAGGTAAACTTTATTTTAATTAAATTTTTTTTTTTTATAACAGAAGGGGGCAAACGAGCAGCGGGAACACCGAAGTGTTCAACGACGCCCATGGACATCAGCAATACCAGAGGAACCGCAGAAATTTAAGCATATATAGATGTTTGTTTGAAATTTGGCATACATATAGAACATAGTCTGGAAGAACACATAGGCTACTTATAATTTTTTTAATTCAAAGCGGACATAGTCGCGGGGGACAGCTAGTCTTCATATAAATTTAATTTACGATGTTACGTAACCATAATCAAATATAATGAAAACACTTCATTTAAATGTTAATTAACATACAATGGACATCAAAACAATTGGTTGCGAAAGTCATTCTTTGATTACAAAATTTATTACAGTATCCTATTTAATAATATTTACATAAATTTATTTCAGGTATCCATTCTACATAACTCAGATATACAAGAAAGAGATTTATTTACTGACATGGTTACGCTACACTCTATGGATACCACTCTATCCATTAGGAATACTCTGTGAATCCATTGTTATTCTACGCAATATCCCATACTTTGAAGAGACACAGAAGTTTTCAGTATCAATGCCTAATGAATGGAACTTTGCATTCCATTTACCCTCTTTAATGAGAGTATATCTTTTAGTTTTGACATTCCCCGGAATGTTTTTCGTTATGAGTCACATGCATAAACTAAGAACGGTTAAACTTAAACCAAAGGTAATTATAAAGAAATCTAAGTAAATGTTAAATATATCGGTGGTATGCAATTTTCTGATTTGGTTATTTAAATTTTTATGTAATATTCAATTGATTACATCAAGAAGCATAAATCTATTTGGCATAAACAATTCTGTGTTTTTCACAGATACCAAAGTTTGTGTGTGTATTTTGTTTATGTATTCTTAAATTTAATCATTTCATAACATGGGGAAATGGTTCAGTTAACTGTGTGATTTTTTTTTTAGTAAATAAAATTAATTTGTTTAATCTGTGGTTTGTGCATTTAAATCAAAGACATTATGTCTTCAATTATAGGTGACTTTTTTTAAAATATTATTCAATTCCGGACAGTGCAATTAACAATATTAAAAGAACAAATCTTTTAGTTTAATCTTAATAAATATTTGAAACTGTAATTATGATGAGCTTACAGAAATGTGTTTCTAAGTTTTCTAAAAGTGTATTTGAATTTTAATTGTAAACATGTGTTTCCACTGCCAGAACATCTGTACAAAACTCTTTCATATGCTATAAACAAAGATAACTCTGTTTTTTCATATATTTAGATATAATTTTGTTCAAGTTTTTTTCCAGTGAAAACGCACACTAATAGCAGCGTTTTACCTGAAATAAAACGCATATTAAAATACTTACCTAACTGGAAGCTTTATTATGAGAGAGCATTTCCGTTTCCGTCGAATTTCTACCAGTTTTCGTACTTTTAAAGGGATGTTTCCGGCAAAGTGGCGCCACCTGGCGGGGGTTGTCTTTTAGTTTTCGTAAAAGAAGACGTGCCCTTTTGAATCATTGGCTTTGTTTTCACCAGGGCGAAATTAAAGTGAAAGCTTCCAGTTAGGTAAGTATTTTAATATGCGTTTTATTTCAGGTAAAACGCTGCTATTAAACAACTTGACCGTAACTGGAAGCTTTATTATGAGATATGTTTGTTATTCGCCTGGTGACGCCACTGTAAAAGGTTATGTTTATCAACGCCAATGTGAGATGTGATGAGAAATAAAAATTTTATTAATCAGAAAATTTTTATTTCTTTGATCAGTTTTGTAAATACATAATTATTAATCAATTCGCCGGTAAAAATAATTGGGTTAGATTTTGTGAATCTTGTGATTTCCTTACTTCTCGTTTATAGAATTTGTGGAATGTATTAGCTGATTGCCAATTTCCACGAGTTAGGATTTCATCAATTGGAGTATTTTCCAGCCAACTTTTGGATGCTACAGCTGATCGGATACTGCCTGGCGTAGCCGTAATGCCAGCTTCTTTAAACAGAGCCTTTATCCAGCCTGAAATTACTGTACGCGATGCGGGTTTTGCAATGCCTCTTACTGTTATAAAAAGATTAAACGATTTTGCAGTATTACGTCTTTCATGTAGCAATTCTATCGTCTTCTCTACCCAAAATACAGGATTGAGATTACGATTATTTGTGTTTGAAAGCAATTTCCAACCAGACTGTCTGTAATTACTGTTGTCCGTTTTTGAACCAAATTCCGGCCAAAGTACAACACTATCTTGTGCTGTCACAATATGCTCAGGATCTACTTTAAGCAAGGTGAGATCATGTACACGTCTTCCTGAACACAATAGTAATAAGAGTGCTGTGTGTCGTGATGTCTGGTATACATTATTTATGTCTATAGTGTAGTTGGCTAAAAAGGAAGATAATTTACT